TCGATCGCTGTAGAAATACAAAATATTCCAAAAACCAAATTTCATACATACTTGACTAAGGTTATTATTTTTATAATCACATGGGGCTTATACACAATCGGCCGAACGACGAATCGGGACGAATTCTAGCGATCACGATCGTGTAGAGGGCATAATCGCCTATAACTGCCCATGATCGGTAATAATCGATCAATAATAGTTATATTATATACTAATTAAAATGAATAGCGGCAGCTGCTACTGTTTCAACGTCCATCTCGGTGACAATACAAATATGTAGGATCATACTGATGCACGATTGTGTGGGCAGCCGCGCAATGATTGTGACAATCATGCCCCATTCTATGGTTGTCCAACATGGCCGATGGTGTGTAGGCCTCAACAGATTTTTATTACAATATTTTGTTTCGCTAAAAGTACTTAGTATTTATATAAAAATATACTTATACGTCTTGGATTTTATGGAGTGACCTGAAGGTGTACTTCGGTGAATGTTACTGGAACTACTCGAAGACTAGAACTAGGTGTGCCGAATTTGACTTCGTTTTGTTAGTTATGATAAGACCTTACCTCCGGACTTGATAGAGTGATCTGAAGGTGTAATTCGGTGACTGCTACTGGAACTCTTTGACGAATAGAACTACAATTTACAATTTTTTTTTTAATTTTTCACGATTAGTTTATGAGCATTATGAGTCGTGCTCCTTTGGATTTTCCAAGATTTTTTTTTAAATTGAAGTTTGACATACACTTATGGGAAAAATGGAAAAATAATAATTATAAATAAATATAACAATTAAACTACTTTAAAAATTTACGTATAATCATGTTATACGTAATTTTATAATGGGCTTAAGACATGTACAATTGAATTTACGAATAGTTTATTATTTCTCTTAAGTCGAAACAGGTACTCGGTTTTCCCAATACAAAAATAGCGGATGACATCATTCCCATAATATGCATTTTATCACGGAAGTTCATGCTTGATGGTGCAATAGTTTAAATACTAGCATATTTGACAAATAATATTATGTTCAATTTATATAATAATAATAATATAGAGGAGGACTAAAATTTAAGGGAAGGAGAAGGAAATACCAGTTAGGTAAGGCTCGGCTACACGCTCAATCTTATTTGCACAAATTTTAATTTGCACAAGCAAGCATGTACGTTAAGACGAAACGCTCTCGCCTGTTTTCTTTCTGGTGTATGACCTTATAGCAATGAGTTTTTACAGTAAAATATATATCAACGTCTTCTATGTATTAAGAACTAGAGCCTTTACAAAATGCTCAAAATTGCCTATTTAGACCGCTGTCAACAAAGGCCTAGTGTTCAGATTTGATAACTACTTAATAGTGAAAAAAAAAACTTAGGGGCACAGTGTATATCCTTCTTATTAAGTTTATGAAATATCTTTAAAATTGGTCCAATATTGGAGGAGGAAATGGTAGAGAGTCAAACCTCGAATTATGCCTTTTTACTTAGTCGGATCTGCAGTTGTCGTTAACGGACGCCAAGCGCTTACAAATCGACGGCGATAGATTCTTTAAATACCTTATTTTCTAAAGTGTCTCGGATCGCATTCCCTCTTAAGCCGACAAAAGGGTATACTGTGCAAATAGCTTGCACAAATGCTAAATTGTATAAGCAAGCATGTAAGTTAAGACGGCTTGTGGACGCCACACAGGTTATTTGCGAACTTTGTACAAACTGTTTGCGTATGCAGGGCGTGAGGTGGACGTTGAGCAGTGCACCATGTTCTTTGCGCAAGTTTTTGCACAAATTGTTTGCGCATGCCAGTTGCTGTGTGTAGCAGGAGCTTAAATCCTAGCTATGTAGTAGAACTTCCAAGGATTTCAAACCCAAGTATTGGTCATTTAATAATACATTGTGATAAAACAGTTATGTATACACAGTATAAAATCACAACGTATCACTCTATATGAATTTTAACTATAGCGACCCCTGTTACCAATGGAGTCTAACTCGGTTTGTTCATACTCGTAGACCATGAAATTTTAAGACGGTTATCCCTTGAGCTACTACGACTCGACAAGCTAACACGGCTGATATTACCCTCTAGGGCCTTGTTTCCGGCAAATCTTGCTCGAAGAAAGAAGAGAGGGAGTCCTCTCGAAAAAGATATCATAGGTTACGGTCTGTGGCCCTACCAACTGCGGCAACGTATACCTGTAGCTTGACGTTTTGTAGCGAGGGTTTAATACCGTAAGGTTTTCTATATATATAATAGCTTGACTTTAACTTAACTTCATTCATATTTCACCGCCAAAAAAGTATCAAAATAAAATGAATACAAAACTAACATATAATAATTTAATTATTTAAAAAAAATACTATTGCGTGTATTATATGAGACCACAAGGATATATATTTGTTGGGTTAATAAAATAGAGAATCAAGTGAATTGGTTAAACAACCTCGTAATTATCATATTATTTACATTCATAAAAAAGAAAAGGCGGAGATTCCTCCATATTTGAAAACATTTAAAACTTACTGAATATACATATATAAGAAATGTAGCAAAATTTTTGATTGCCTCATAATAAGGGGATAATTGCCATAGTTGCCACACAGCAGACAGGTAGGCAACAGCATATTTTTAGATGTTACGTAAAGACGCTGTTGTCCATCTCCTGGTTTGATTCCTCTGTCGCTTCTTGCGACACCCACGCTATGATATGGGGTAGTGCATATTCTTACACCGCGATTTTATTTGTGGATATGATTTTTTTTATAGGATACGGTGACAAACGAGCACACAGTCCACCTGACGGTAAGTGGTTACTGTGGCCCATAGACATCTACATCTATCTTCTATTACGAATCAAAATGCAGATGCGTCATCACCCGTGAGGACTAAGATGGAATGCCTCGTTTCCAGTGAAAAGGGTCTCCGGTTTTCTACACTCACCATACGAAACACAGCAGCGTTAAGCTGCTATTTTACGCTGGTATTCTGTAAGAGCGTGGTCTTTCCCCAGTCCAGCCGACCCATTCGTGCTGCAACCATAACATAGCTAAATTGTACCTATGTACTGTTGTAAAATCAACGTAAAGTCTCTTTTTTTATGCATGTGGTGCCCTCCTGTAAGTAATGGGACATTTAGTTTTAATAATTGTGATGTCATTCCATATGTATGTAACAGTGTACACATTGTTGTGAGAGCCTAATAAAATAAATAAATAAATAGCTGCAGCATGGCTCTACCACGTAAAAAATGATATGAAGATATTGTCAACATGTTAATATAATCGTTTTTTTAAAACATACATTACATCGAGTTGATTGGTTCCGTAGCCGGAGCCACAAAACAAAACAGCGTTTATATTTTGCACAGAATCTGCATAATACTTGTATGCGCATTCGTAATGTGCATTAATAAATTCGTAATCGATGAATCTTGAACTTTTTAGACTTCTATTACGAATATACGATACATGCGTCCATTGTTGTGGTTTAAAACGTAATGCGCGTGCGCGGTCGGACGTCACAACTTGGCGGTGACAAAACAAAAGGAATTCCCTGCACTTTGACGTTGCTAATTCATAGATTCTTTACAGAAGCGTGCTTGAATTACACAATGTTACTTTGCTTTAACGCAGTATACGTGAAGAGATAACTTTGTACCCCTTTTTTAGCAAATTGTAAGCATGGTATGAAGTATGAACTGATACAAAATGAATGGACAACCAGAAGACTTTAAAACGTCAGTTCATTTCATAATGCATCTTATTTACAAACTAGTTTTAGATGTGCAAACGTTTTACGACTTGTTTACTAAACATCAAAATTTTTCTGTTATCGTTGTTTAAAACATCTGTTATTTAAAATATTAATGAAAACCTACCTTTTAAACTCTCAAAGTTCAAATTTTTTCAAGTAGTCTTAAAATTATTAGTAATTATATTTATTTATTTATTCTTTTTTACATCTACCTCATAATAAGGGATATAAAGGGCGGACTTAATGCCTTGTGGCATTCTCTACCAGTCAACCCTGGATGATTTGAGAAGATGTGGTAGGTGCAACACCACTCCATAAATTAATAAATAAGTAAAAACATTATATCTTATAAAAAAGCAAATAAATAAAATATTTTTAAACTATACATTAAAATACATATTATACAAAATATCAATTACAAAGCGAAAGAGGGAGAAAAACAAAAATTGGATAAATCAGATGGTATTATTCCTGTTAAAGAATCCTCAAACTAGTATTTTAAAATAATATTTGTTACTGTTTTTTTTTATATGAACAGGCAAGGCATTAGTAATTATATGTATTTACTTAAAAAGCATCTGTTTATCCATCCATTCATTACAGACTAACAAAGGCCACTGCTGATCTCAGTCACCCCCCATAAATATCCCCATAGTTGCCACGCTTGGCAAGCAGGTTGGCAAGCGCAGTCTATAATTTCGTGTCGATGTAGAGAAGATGTTGCTTCCCAACTGCCGTTTCGGTTTCCCCCTGTCGCCTTTTACGGACATGAAATGAAATTAAATGAAATGTAATTATTTTTTATTTTTTATTCTCGAAATATTTTTTAATAATTTAGTTATGCTGGTTTTTTCAAGATGTTTTCCTGCATTCTTAATACGAAGTATGGAGAATTATGTAGGTCAAGAGTAAGCCTAGTTATATAATAAAAAAGAAAAGTAAATCAGGACTTAAAATTGCAATGAACAAGCGGAAATCTAACTCTGTTTACTTGTAAGATAGAAATAGTTAACAAAACAGAACAAATAAGAAATAACATGGTAGCGATCACTTCATTCCCAGTGGTGAATATCATTATCTGCCTGATCTGAATATCATTCATAATGTGTTATGCAATTAAATTTAAGGCAATCGCTTGTCATCTGAGCTATAACGTGTCTTGGTAAAAAAAATCTATGATAAAATGAAATCACTCAAATCATCGGTATACGAGTATCTATAAATCAAAAATAATAAATGTAATCGCTCAGATTTTGGGCACTAAGCCGTTGGTTGAAGCCATTGTAATAAATAGCTCTTGACACAGTACATTTTCATAATAAAGATACCGTACATAATTTACAACTTCTTGATAGTTTCAAGTTCATCATCATCATCATCATCATTACAGCCCTTCACAAGTCCACTGCTGAACATAGGCCTCCCCCAAGGAATGCCACAAAGCACGGTCCTGAGCCACCTGCATCCATCGACTTCCTGCATGTCTTACCAGGTCGTCACTCCATCTCGTGGGGGGACGCCCTACACTTCGCCTACCGGTACGAGGCTGCCACTCGAGAACCTTTCTTCCCCATCGGTTGTCGGTTCTTCGAGCTATATGGCCGGCCCATTGCCACTTCAGCTTACTAATCCGTTGGGCTATGTCGGTTACTCTGGTTCTACTGCGGATATCCTCATTCCTAAGTTTATCACGCAGAGAAACTCCGAGCATAGCCCTCTCCATAGCTCGCTGAGCGACCTTGAGCTTCCTCATCCGGCCAGCAGTGAAGGACCACGTCTCAGTTCCATATGTCATCACTGGCAACACGCACTGGGTGTACAGTCTCGTTTTCAAGGTTTGAGGTATACCTGACGAGAAGATGTGCCGTTATTTCCCGAACGCTGCCCAACCGAGTTGAATCCGTCGATTGACCTCTCGGTCGAAGTTGGACTTACCTAGTCGGACTATTTGTCCCAGGTAAACATACTCGTCAACAACTTCGAGCTTAGTGTTCCCAACAACTACCGGCATAGGTGTGACATGGACATTAAACATGATCTTAGTTTTCTCCATGTTCATCTTAAGACCTATCCGTTGGGAAACACTATTGAGGTCATTGAGCATAGTGCTTAGGTCCTCCAGCGATTCTGCCAAAAGGACTATATCGTCGGCAAATCGAAGGTGAGTGATGTACTCGCCATTGATGTTGATACCGTATCCTTTCCAGTCCAGAAGCTTGAAAACATCTTCCAATGCAGCGGTGAAGAGTTTCGGGGATATGACGTCACCCTGTCTTACACCTCTCTGCAATTGGATAGGTTTCGTACTCTGGTTCTGTACTCGGATAGCCATCGTAGCCCTACTGTACAAGCACTTCAACACTTCGATATACCGACAGTCAACTTGGCACCGCTGAAGGGACTGCAGCACCGCCCAAATTTCGACGGAATCAAAGGCTTTCTCATAGTCCACATACGCCAGACATAGTGGCAAATTGTACTCTTCGGACTTCTGTACAATTTGCCGAAAGGTATGTATGTGGTCTATGGTGCTAAAGCCCTTTCGGAAACCGGCTTGTTCGGGAGGCTGGAAGTCGTCAAGTCTGCGCGCGAGACGATTCGTAATGACTCTCGAAAACAGCACGTAGACGCGGCTCAGAAGGGAAATCGGTCTATAGTTCTTCAAGAGAGCGTTGTCACCTTTCTTCAAGAACAAGACCACCGCACTTCTGCTCCACGCCTCCGGTGTAATGCCACCATGGAGGACGGAATTAAAGAGCTTCTGAAGGACTTCAAGTACCGGTTTTCCACCCGCTTTCAGAAGCTCCGCTGTAATTCCATCCTCGCCTGGGGCCTTACCGTTTTTAAGGTGCTGGAGAGCCATTCTAATCTCGCTCAGACTGACGTCTGGCATATCTTCGGAATAGTGTCGGATGAGACTCGCTCTTGGATCGTTACTCACACTTGCGTGCGGCTCCAACAATGACGTGTACAGCTGCCCATAGAACCTCTCAATCTCACTCAAATTCTCAGGTGCCCCGGAAACGATGCTGCCACATTCTGTCTTCAGCTTTGACAGTTGGCTCTTTCTGGCAAACAGATCTCTGGCAAAGACTTTAGAGCCTTGGTTCCGTTCGATCGCTTCTTCAATACAAGCTGTATTGAAGTTGCGTAAGTCCCGCCGCATGCATTTGGAGATCTGTCTATTCAGATGCCTGTATGCTGTCAAGTCTGTTGAAGAATGTAGCTTCATCTCCCGTCTAACAGCCATGAGATTAAGAGTGTGATCGGAGAGTTTTTGTGTTCTTCTGCGGCGGGTCTTGCAGAACTTAGCTCCGACCGCATGGACAGTTTCCACGAGCTTGTCATTCGTATCGTCCACTTCATTGCAGTCTTCTAGGCACTGAAAACGGTTTTGTAACTCGAGCTGAAAGGTTTCGGGACTTTGGATTAGAGCACGAGGGGGACGGAGCGTTGACTTCATTAGACGAGACCTCTCCAACTTAACGTTTAGGTTCAGTGTGCCTCTAACCATTCGGTGATCGCTACCAGTTTTCACCCTCGCGATCACGGAGACATCACTGAACAGTTGTCGTCTGGTCGTCATAATGAAGTCAATCTCATTTTTTATCGAACCGTCGGGGCTCGACCAGGTCCACTTCCTGTGGGGCCGCTTCTGGAAGAAAGAGTTCATCATAAAGAGTCCCTCTTTCTCCATGAAGTCGGCCAGCTGCTGGCCCCTTGGGTTCCGTTGCCCTATTCCAAATTTTTCATAGGGGGGTATTTGCCATAGTTGCCACGCTTGGCGAGCGGGTTGGCAACCGCAGTTTTTTTTTAATTTAGTTTTTTAGTTTTTTTTAGTTTTTTTTTTTAGTTTCTAGTTGTCATGCAGTAATTGGGTAAGTGTAAAGCCAGTGCGTTGCAACGCACTGTTGCCAGTGGTGACCTACGGATGACAAATGTGGTCCTTCACTGCTGCCTATATGAGTAATCGCAAAGTCGCTCAGTGAACGATAAAGATGACTATACTTGAAGTTTCTCTGTCTGATAAAATTCTTAACGAGAACATCCGCAGAAGAACAAGAGTAAGAAAAACAGTAGATTAAAGTGGCAATGGGATATATATATATATGTATATATATATATATATATATATATATATATACATATATATATATATATATATATGTATATATATATATATATATATATATATATATGGTCTACAGGTCGGCCCATTTTCTTGACCTTCCACTAGATGGAACCATCGATGGCCTGATGAACCATCCAAGTCGCCGTGGATGAAGGTGGCTCAGGACCATACTTTTCATTGGAGCCGCCTTTTTTCAGCAGTAGACTTGTGATAGGCTGTAATAATGATGATGATAAAATTAAATTTTTAACCATGGTCAATAGATTACGATCAATAGGTTGATTTTTTAGTTTTGTAGCAAAAACTTGTTTTGCGGCCTATGTACTCTCTACCTCTGTTTTTTTTATAATCTGCATTGTTTGCATTTGCTATTGCATGTCTCAGAAACGCTAATGAACAAGACATATTTTTTATTTTTTATTCTTTACAGCGTGCCGTGGAGAGGGTTATACTAAGAGTTTCTCTGAGTGGTAAAATCCGTAAAGTGATATCCGCTGCATACAGACCTAAAATAGCTAATATTACCTAATGAATCGGTGAATTGAAATAACCAGTCGCATTGCTCACAGAGCCGAAAACCGATGGGGATTCCCCATCGGTATTTTCCCGCGGCTGAAAATTTCCTCAGCGATAATATTTCTTTAAAGAGGTTCGCTATAATTTTACTTTCTTGTCTCATCTCATTAGTTCCACAGTAACAGGCTTTTCACCGGTGAATACTAAGCTTTTAAAGAAAAATTACTTGTTAATTATCGTAGGCTTAATTTGGATCCAGTAGACGTCACTAATGGCAAATAAGATTTCTCATGCAACAACATACAACAGCTGGCTAACGCAGTGTAAAGCAACTCTTAACCTAATGCAGTGACGACTTTATGAATCAGCATACCATACAACAGCATACAGCATCCTTACAGGGAAATGCGTCGGCATCCTGCGGGATTTGTGAGGGAGGCGTATGTTTAGCTATCGACTCGTGATGAGCTGCATTAACGTTGATGTATCAAAGAAATAAAGTTAGTTTTAAATTGACAGTATAAAAACAATCATGTCCCGAGTCGTGAGTTAAAACGTAAAAAACAATTTTATACGAAAGAGTGCAGCTATAACTTGTCAAATGACATTAAAGAATGTGGCAATGTTAATATGTCTAAAAGTAAGTTAAATACCTAATAAACAAAATGTTTATACATTATTATTATTAGTAGGTACTCTCTTCTACTATTTAGTCATAAATTTGATGTCTATTACTTATAAATTTTAATTAAGCAAGCCTGAATTCTTTTACATATCATTTACCTCATACATGTATCTCATTGAAAGTGAAACTCTGTTTCTTTTGAAAAATACATTCTTTAAATCTAAACATTGACGTTATAGCTACAGGATTAGGCTTCACCAATCTTTATTACATATTTTCCTAGTAAAAGACTCCAACAAAGTAAGTTTATTTGGAGATATTTTAAAATAAACATATAGCGATTCTTCGCATTTATTTAACAAAATAAAGCATATATTTTTTTTAATTCGACAAAGTGTAATCGCGTTGACAGATTTGTTGACATATCTCTACGATAAGGAATTTGCTTATCGCATTTGCGGCATCAATTGTTTTTAACGGATAGCGACGGGTGATAACGACGTTACCTGTAACGGCGGCTGTCGTATAGCGGCCGTTACCTTCGAGCTTACATAATGATAACGCTTATCATTTATCAAATTCGCCACGAGTTTTCTTGGGTGCGTACGTGACATTGAGTGAAGCGTTGCGGATGTAAACGCCGTATCAGTACTAATATCTACTTATGATATGTCTGTATGTTGGTAATTTATAGATTTGTTTTTAGATGTTGATGTTTTTTTATTATCTATGAAATTTATTAAATTCTCCTAATATTACATAACTTATTAGGCCTTAAATTAAGTATCATAAATAAATAAGTATAACCAGAAAAAATGGTATATTAAATCTCCTTATTAAGACACCAAGTGACATTAAAATTTAGCTACATTTTTTAAGTTTTTTTTTTAATGATAAGGGTGACAAACGAGCACACAGTCCACCTGATGGTAAGTGTTTGCTGCGACCCATAGACATCTACATCTTTCCTCGATTACAAATCAAAATGCAAATGCGTTGTCACCCGTGACGACTGCCATGCCA